CACCTCTAATCCTAGCCACCCAGGAGGCAGAGATAGAGAATCTCCAGTTCAAAGCCATTCTGGGCAGGAAAATCCATGAGATTCTTATCTCTAATTAACCAACAAAAAGCCCAGAAGTGGAGGTGTGGTTCAAGTAGAAAAGCACCAGCTTTGAGGGGGAAAAAAAGGTAAGGGATACTGCATGGGCATTTAGTTTAAACCCCAGGACTGGCACACACACAAAAAAATGATGGGTCAACTAGTAAGAATATTGCCGAGGGCTGGTGGCTCACACCTGTAATCTTAGCCATGCAGGGGACTGAGATCTGAGAGGATCACAGTTCAAAGCCAGCCCGAGCATGAAAGTTTGTGAGACTCTTATATCCAATAAACCACCAGAAAACTGGAAGTGGTGCTGTAGCTCAAGTGGTAGAGCACTAGCCTTGAACTGGAGAGCTGAGGGACAGCACTTAGGCCCAGAGTTCAAGTCCCATGACCAAAAAAAAAAAAAAAAAATTGTCGGAATATTTCAGATTCATTACTGTTGACCATATTCTTTCCAGAAAAAGAAACTTATCTCCTGCTTTACATCGTCAGTGTAAAGAACATACATGCAGCTTTTCTTGGCCAGCATTTGGTGTCACTTGGTATCACTTAGGATTTGGAGAATGGGGTGATATGATCACATTTACATTGATAAAGTTGAATCCTGGAGGCTGAACCAAAGGGAATGGATAACATTGGCCTAACCATCCCACCTTTCCTTCCATGTTCTCCTTTTTCTAATTCCTCATGCTTTATCTGTTCTTTCCTGGAGAGCATCTATTAAGTTTGCTAACTACAAAATACTACACAAAGCCTTGTCACCATGGAATAACAGGAGAACCGTTGAATGGCCTTGCTCTGGACACACAATCTTATGCCTGACGGCTCTCTTTCTTTAGCTCTAGCCAAAAGGAGTCTCTGAAAAGTAATTCTCCTTAGGGGAAAATATTTTTGTTATTTCCCAATGAAATTGCCAGGTAAGCTTATTATTTTGGTGATGGTGGTGGTGGTGATGATGATGGTGTGTGTGTGTGTGTGTGTGTGTGTGTGTGTGTGTAGGGCCTGAGGACCTGGGCTCTGTCCCTGAGCTTTTTTTGCTCAAGGCTAACATTCTACCACTGAGCTTCAGCTCCACTCTGGCTTTTTGCCAGAGTGAAGATGAAGAGTCTCACGGACCTTCCTGCCTGTGCTGGCTTTGAACTACAATGCTTAGATTTTAGCCTCCTGAATGTCTAAGATTACAGACATGTGCACCTGGTTGTTTGTTTTTCCATCCTGTGCCTGACCACCACATACAAGACCATACCTATGCTTGGGTCCTCTCCTCCTTCCTTTCCTCTTCTTAACCCAGAAAACTGCCATGGCATTCATCCTTAACTCCCTTGCTTGAGTATCTGTGGTGCCTATTTCTCTACCTTGCCCAATCAGAGTCACCACTCAAGCTTCTTTGATCCCATGGCTCGATTTAGCATTTTCTATACCTAATTCTGTTTCTCTTTCTGCTACAAGTCCCATAAGAATCGATCATTTTAGCCAGGCAATCATGGTTCATGCCTGTAATCCTGGCTACTCAGGAGGCTGAGATTTGAGGATGAAGGTTTAAATCCAGCCCAGGCAGGAGGGTCTCTGAGACTCTTAATTAACTAGCAAAAATCTGCAAGTGGAGCTGTGACTCAAGTGGTGGAGTGATGACAACCTTGAGCAAAAGCTAAGGGCTTAGGCCCTGAGTTCAAATGCGTTCAAATGCCAGTACTGGCACACACACACACACACACACACACACACACACAAATACTGTTATAAGCTGTTTTTAAGTATCATACATACTTGATGTAAACTAACCAGCATTACATGGGTTTCTTTACCAATTTCTCAGTAGGTATTGTTGGTAGTTAAAAGGAAGATTGGCTAGGTTATGGTAAAAGGAGCAGCGAGAGCTTCCACTGGTCTTACCTCTCTAGGCCAGGGAAGATTGAAAGAACAAATTCAAAGGCAGAATGGTAAAAGGCTAACAGGATCCTTGCCCCTTCCCCTACTTATATCTTCTCAGTCCCACAATGTAAGCCCCTGCCCCCACCCACCCACTTGTGCTGATGAGATCAGCCTTCATTATTTCTCTTCTGGAGCCAGGAAGCAAGGTAATGTGTGGGAAGTGATAACAACTTTAAAGCCATTCAACGAGAAAATTTGTTAAGAGACCAATACATTGTAAAGCTGAAACACTTGAGTCTATTAAGTTCTCTGCTTCTTAGAACATTTTGTTACCAGGGAATGTTTCAAGGAGGGAAAACATTGAACTAGTGCAGCACAGTCAGATAGCAAAGGTTGGTACAAAGAGCAACATTTTATGAGGCATCTGTCTTATAAAATGTTTGCAGAGAAACTTCTAAAAAGTTCTGCCTTTCTTTTCTCTTCCTCTCTCCTGCCCCCCTCCACACCCCTTAGAGTCACTCCTTTCTCTCCTCTCCTCTCTCCCCCTTCCTCCTATTCCCCTTTCTTTCCCTCCTTCTTCCTCTTCCTTCTCCTTCTCCCCCCACACTGCACCTCTTCCTCCTCCTCCTTTCTTTTCTCTTTTCACCCCCACCTATATCTATACTCCTTGTTGTTTTCATAGACACCATTAGAGTAGCACAATAAGCTAAGACTGGTTATTTAGCCCCTTTGGTAAGAAAGGAACTAATTAAGTGACTAGAGGTTTAAACATTCCTTGTTTATTAGCTCCAAACTCCCTTCAGAGAGCCTGGAGCATTCTACTAAACAAACATTACCCTTTTATGGCTTCTTGTCCAGAGTCCAAATAAGATGTAGAGTTTAAGGAGACAGTACCTTTTCACAGATGTGCAGAAAACAATACTTGAGACAGAGAAGAGTGGATGTAGAGGGGAGAAACTCAACCCTGTCCCAGGAAGACTACCATTATCTGTTGGAGGTAAATGTCCATCAGTGATTACCAAAAGTTTAAACTGTATGATGTTGATACTTATGACCAGTCCAATGCTTTGTTTAACTATTTATTAGAAATAACATCCCTCAAGGGCTGGGAATGTGGCTTAGTGGTAGAGTGTTTGCCTAGCATGTATGAAGTCCTGGGTTCGAGTCCTCAGTACCACATAAACAGAATAAGCCAGAAGTGGTGCTGTGGCTCAAGTGGTAAAATGCTAGTCTTGAACAAAAGAAGCTCAGGGGGGCTGAGAAGGTGGCTCAGTGGTAGAGTGCTTGCCTTGCATGCATGAGGCCCTGAGTTCGATTCCTCAGCACCACATAAGCAAAAAAAGCCGGAAGTGGTGCTGTGGCTCAAGTGGTAGAGCGCTAGCCTTGAGCTGAAGAGCTGAAGGACAGCGCCCAGGCGCAGAGTTCAGGCCCCACGACCAGACCCCCCAAAAGGAGCTCAGGGACAGTGCCCAGGTCCTGAGTTCAAGCCCCAGGACTGGCAAAAAGAAAAGAGAAATAAATAACATCCATCAAGTAACAAGTTTTTAAGCAATATGGGGTCTTCTAAACAAAAGAATAAGAAAAATCTACCCAGGTGCTGGTGGCTCACGCCTGTAATCCTACCTACTCAGGAGGCTGAGATCCGAGATTCGTAGTTCAAAGACAGCCTGAGCAGGAAAGTCCGTGAGACTCTTATCTCCAATAAACTACTTGAAAACTGGAAGTGGCGCTGTGGCTCAAGCAGTAGAGCACTTGCCTTGAGCTGAAGAGCATAGGGACAGTGCCCAACCCGAGTTCAAGCCCTGCAAATGACCAAAAAGAAAAATCTAAATACCTCCTCATCAATCTTAACAAACACTGTTACACTGTTCTTGGGAGGCTTTTTAGAGTACAGAAGCCATCTGCTAACTAGACAAGCATTAACATGGACACAGTTTTCTAGTTGGTAGCTATTAATAGGATACTAGTGACTAGTCGTAACCTGTGAAGAAAGGTACTCTTGTCCTGGTAAGGCCAAGGAATTGAAGCTTTTTAAAACCCTGCCTTTTTATTTTGCTTCTGTTTGAAATACATAAAAGTTTCATTGTAAAGTAAGTCTCAGGCTCAACATCAAACATTAATCCTGCCTTTGCTTTCACAAGGGAAATTGGGAGGCAAAAATCAAAGCATCAGCAAGGGGCAAAATGGACCTCTTCCAGGTTCTGAATCAGAAGCAACAGCCACCCTGGGTGGCTGTAGATCCTGAGTAGCTGTGAGGCCAGGATTCATACTTTCTTTCCTTCCTTTTCTCATGTGAGCCCATAATATTCTGGTGTAGAGGAAATAGTCTTTTCCCTGGCAGAGGTCACTGACTTTCCAAGGATGTCCAAGGAGGATAGCTCAGCAGTGGCTTACCACAGTCCAAACAAGGTTAATTAAGCATCAGTAGAAACAACACATTGTTCAGACATTGAGAGAAGTATACATCATGGCCTTCCTTAACATTTCTATTCTAGTCCCAATGGTTTGGATTAATGCCATTGTATATTATGAGGTTTCTTGATAGGTCAACCTATTCCTTGGATGTATATTAATGATCTGATTCTACTGGATTTTTCACTACAATTAAACTTCTACTCATTAAAAAGTACATTTACTGACATTTAGGGGAATTCTCTACTCAGAGTGAGTTTGAAAAGGCCATTTGGAAGCTAGGTGTGATAGCTCATGCTTGTAATCCTAGCTACTCTGGAGGCTGAGATCTGAGGATTATGGTTCAAAGACAGCCCAGGCAGGAAAGACCATAAGATTCTTATCTCCAATAAACCACCAGAAAACCGGAAGTGGCACTGTGGCTCAAGTGGTAGAGCGCTAGCCTTGAGGTGAAGAGCTGAGGGACAGCGCCCAGGCCCAGAGTTCAAGCCGCAGGACCGAAAGAAAAAAAATGTCCGTCTGGTGGGGAATGCAGAGATGCTGACAGACCTGGGTTGGCCATGTGGGGGGCAGACCTTTTGGCGAGAAGCAGCCTGAGTAACATCTGCTTCTTACACTGTCTTCCTCTACAGACCTCAGTGATCAGCTCCTTGAAGTGGTGGGACTGGAGGGAGCAATGGAGATGGGGCAGATCTACACAGGCCTGAAGAGTGCGGGAAGGAGGTTGGCCCAGTGTTCTTCTGTCACCATCAGGTATGCCTACACATCACCCGGCAGCCGCTGAGTTTCCCCACCCGGTGAATCAACTAGGAAGCCATCTTGGGAGTTCAGCGTAGGGAAAGTAGGGGATAGAAGTTAGATAATGTTCATAAAGAACATCCTTGTAGACGCTCTTCCAGACAGACTATGATATAATCACTCAAGGCACCAAGTACAAGGTGCAGACTGCCAGTTCATTGTGTTCTTAAAATAAGCTGGTGAAGCCCAGTGCGGGTGGCTCACACTTGTAATCCTAGCTACTCAGGAGGCTGAGATCTGATGATCATGGTTCAAAGCCAGCCGGGGCAGGAAAATCCATGAGACTCTTATCTCCAATAAACCACCAAAAAACCGGAAGTGGCATTGTAGCTCAAGGGCTCAAGTGGTAGAGTGCTAGCCTTGAGCTTAAGAGCTGAGGGAAAGCACCCAGGCCCAGAGTTCGAGCCCCACAATCAATACATAAATAATAATGATAATAATAATAATAATAATCTGGTGAAATTCTCTAAACAAGATTATGATGTCCAGAGAACAAGAGGTCCAGTACCTCACCTTTTTATCTTCACAAATGTTATATGTATGCCAAGAGGTACACTCTGGCAAAATAAATAAATAAATAAAAATTAAAAAAAATAGGTTCTCTGCTCTGCTGTCTTATATAATAGCCTTGGAAATACTATTGCCTATATTCTATAATATTTTAAACCATCAACATTAGCAAAGCTATTGCCATGGACCAAGAAGGTGACAACATTTCAGGATATAAACCACCCAGCCAGCAACTGAAGGTCTGGAAAATACAGGCTCTAGTAGAAAGGTGCCTCTCATTTCAGTTGCTTCTGTTTTTTTTTATTTGGATTCCCATTGATTAACTTAATTCAGAAGTCTTTGTTTTTTACTTTTTCAGTTCACTTAGCATAGATCAGATCTATTCATATGACTTGGGGCTCTGGGTCTCAGTGTATAGGTTTTCCAAAGGCATTATCCACAGAGTCCTATTCTCCCAGAACCCCTAAGCAAGTGTCATTAAGAGCATATTTGAATGTTGGCACCGGTGGCTCTCGCCTGTAATCCTAGCTACTCAGGAGGCTGAGATCTGAGGATCATGGTTCAAAGCCAATCTGGGCAGCAAAGTCCGTGAGATTTTTATCTCCAATAAACAACTAGAAAACCGGAAGTGGTGCTGTGGCTCAAGTGGTAGAGCACTTGCCTTGGGCTGAAGAGCTGAGAGACAGTGCCCAAGCCCAGAGTTCAAGCCCCAGGACTGACAAAAAAAAAAAGCATATTTGAGCCAGGCTCTGGTGGCTCATGCCTGTAATCCTACCAACTCAGGAGACTGAGATCTGAGGATCCCAGTTCAAATCCAACCCAGGCAGAAATGTCCATGAGATTCTTATCTCCAATAACCACCAGAAAACCAGAAGTGGGTGCTGTGGCTCAAAGTGGTAGAGCACTAGCCTTGAGCAAAAAAGAGCTCAGGAGTAACACCCAGGCCTGGAGTTCAAGCTTCATAACCAACAACAACAAAAAAGTGGTAGAGTGCTAGCCTTGAGCACAGAACCTTAGGAGCAGTGTCTAGGTTCTGAGTTCAAGCCACAGGACTGACAAGAAGAAAAAGAACACATTTGAAGAAACTTTGCTGATCCAACTTTCTTCCCTCAGAAAAGCCCACAGAGATGATTCCCCCCGGGTTTCTTAGGACTGAGTGTCTGTTCCATTATGCTCTGTCTTTGGTCCCTGATTGTCTTCTTTGTCTTTTCTATTCCCCAAAACTGAGCTCCCCTTCCTCTCTGAACTGTTGTTCCAATGAGGTACCTGCTTTCCTGATGAATCTCTCCAGGATTACTCTCCCCACTCTCCAGGCCTCCATACTGAGTGGGGCCTGAGTGTGAGCACCTGGAGGCTATACTTACATGGGGCCATAGAAGACATGGTGTCCTGATCCCTAAGGACTCTGAAAAGGCGACGCATAAAGGGAAATACCTTTTCTTCTATTTGGTAGCTCTACTTCCGGACAGAAACAGAGGGGTGAGCCAGATGTCTCATCCTCCCAGGCATTTCCCTTGACACTAAAATGCCTCTCTTTCCTCTGATTCTTCATTTTTTTATTATTAGATTTATTGTTTTTGTTATTAACTATCCTCAGGCTATGGCAAAGAATCATCACATCAAAACACAACTTTCCCCTCTCATTTTGTAATATCAAAAACCAGGCAGATGCCAAACTCAGGGGAGAGCTTCCTGGCCAGTGGGCAGTGACTTCTCCCCATTCCATCCACCTCAGCCCCAAAGGGCTGCCTTTTCTCTCAAGGCAAAGGTATCTACAGAAGGGAGTCCTTGTCTCTCTCCTTCCAAGAATCCATAGACCAGAGAAGCTTTGTCTCAAGCAAGAGTAACACTTTCTCCTCCCTCTCCTACTTTGGGGGATACTACTCCCAGATGTCCCCTTTCCCGGCAAAGCCAGGTGTATATCATGGGTGCTTCTGAGTGTTCTGTTGCTCAGGACTGAGTGCAAGGTACGCTTCACTCAGACCTGAGCTATAAAATCTGGACAGCTTGGAGACATGACTTCATTGGTATGATGCAATGGCTCACTCAACAGAAAGAGAAGAGCTTTGGGCACAGACTGCTGCCCACTGGACTGAGGAGGGTCTGCTCAGTTCACATGCTGCCATGCTTGCTGGCCACTGTTTCCCAGACTGTGTGGCTTTTGCCCACAAAAGCTCTACCCCCAGCAGTGTTTCTCAGAGTGAGGGCTGAGGACCCAAGGCCCACAGAATTACCTTGTCATGTTTATTAAAGTGCAGGGCCTGGCCTCAGATATGCCAAATCCAGTCCCTGAGGTGGGTTCAGTGTTCAATTCTTAGCAAATTCCTCAGGAGAGTCCTAGGGAACCCCTCCTCCGTATCTTTGGTAAAAAGGACAATCAAAGCTTACTGTGTCCTCTCGCTTTGGGATGGTTCCAGGACGAACAAGCTGCTGCCGATGCAAGTGGATGGGGAACCTTGGATGCAGCCACGTTGCATGGTGAGTTACACCAAGTTTGGATTTGGGGATGGGAAGCTTAATTTTTTTACCCTTTCCAGGCACTAGCTTGATTAGAATTGCAGGTACCTTAGAAGATCATCTAGCACAGCCTCCTCTTCCACTTCATTCAGAAACTTCATCCATGGTTCCCTGACAGCCTCAGGTTGAACTATTCCAGCGGGCAGGGACCATACTCCATCCAAAAGAAGACTGTTCTGTTGGTGAGCAAGTCCAGGGATTAGCAAATGCTTCTAATACGGAAGCTAAATCTGCACTCTCCCCCTGGAACTTCCGCCCAGAGTGTACTGACAAGCATGCCCATGGGGGGCACTAACAGATTTGAGGACCTGCCTGAAAATACTGAAAGGATCACCACAGTGTTGTCTACAGCATTATCACCCAGCACCCAGCACGGTGCCCATGCTGTAATTGTTGCAGAATAATTCATGGACTAAAACATAAGGGGCTGAAAATAAATTTAAAAAAAGGGAACTTTTCCCTTCCCTGACTTGCCAAACCCACATTAGTTCCACTTAGGACTAATGAAGGAGACAGGCCTCCTTCTTTCTTAATTAGAAAAGCAGCCAGGAACAGCTAAATATTGGTGGCTATTCCTGCAGTCCCAATGATTGGGAAGCTAATACAGGAGAATCATAAGTTTGAGACTAGCATGGATTACAGGGTAAGTTTGAAGGTAGCCCAAGCTCGCTAGTGAAACCTGGAAAGAAAAAAAGAAAGGAGAAAAGGAAAGGAAAGCAAAGGAAGAAAGAAAGAAGGAAAGAAAGAGGAAGGGAAGCAGGGAAGAAGAAGAGGAGAGAAGGGAAGGAAAGAAAGAAAAAGAAAAGAAACCTAACTAGGACCCTTTGACAAAGAGAAGACAGACACTGCCTGGTTCAGGGCCTCTATTAGGATATTTTATACATATATATATATTATATATATATATATATGTATATATAATATTACTTTCATGTTATCAAAAATATGCAAAGTTCATGAGAGTCAAAAGTTGTGTTTCAGAGCTTCCTTCCTGTTTAGACATCTTGATAATCTGTTCTTTGAAGCCTTTCAGAACACATCAAGTCTTTCAATAGAGAGAAGCTTGCTTCAAATGAGCTTACTAAGGAGAAATAGCATCTGCTCTAATGGTCAAAATGGAAATTTCTTTTCAAATTCTGATCTGTTTAATGAACTTTAAGAAAAAGTTATGCTAGCAGGGCGCCGGGGGCTCATGCCTGTAATCCTAGCTACTCAGGAAGCTGAGATCTGAGGATTGTAGTTCAAAGCTAGCCCAGGCAGGAAAGTCTGAGAGACTCTTATCTCCAATAAAAGCCATTAGAAAACCAGAAGTATCTCTGTGGCTTAAGTGGTAGAACTCTCACCTTGAGCTGAAGAGCGCAGGGACAGCGCCCAAGCCCAGGTTCAAGTCCCACAACTGACCAAAAAAAGAAAGAAAGAAAGAAAAGAAAAAGGTATGCTGGACCCTGGTGGCTCATACCTATAATCCTAGCTGCTAAGATCTGAGGATTTCAGTTTGAAACCAGTCCAGACAGGAAAAGTCTGTGAGACTCTTTAAAAGCCTGAAGTAGAGCTGTGGCTCAAGTGGTAGAGTGCCAGCCTTGAGTGAAAAAGCTAAGAGACAGTACCCAGGTCCTGAGTTTAAACCTCAGTACTGGCACACACAAAAGAGAGGAAGGAAGAGGAGGAGGAGGAGAGGGAGGAGGAGGAGAGGGAGGAGGAAGAAGGAGGAAGAAGAGGAAGAAGGAGAAGAAGAAGGAGAAGAAGAAGAAGAAGAAGAAGAAGAAGAAGAAGAAGAAGAAGAAGAAGAAGAAGAAGAAGAAGA